AAAAGAGGGCTTGAGGGAACTCCTTAGCCGGCTTGAGCCAACTCGAACCAGCCAATTAAAATGGCTTAATGAGGAAGCTTGAATGGCTTGAGCCAATGGCTGAGCCAGCCGGCTCAATAATCTGCCTTGAGCCTGAGCCAAATTTTTGGCTGAAAAACTGGCTGAGTTTTCAGCTAAGCCAACAACACTAGTTGGAACGTGCCAAAAAGTTGATGCACATGTAATCCCAAGCCACAAGAGCCAATTAAAATGGCTTAATGAGGAGGCTTGAATGGCTTGAGCCAATGGTGGCTGAGCCAATGGCTTTTAGCTTGAGCCAATGGTGGCTGAGCCCAATGGCTGAGCCAATGGCTTGAGCTAATGGCTGAGCCAGCCGGCTCAATAATCTGCCTTGAGCCTGAGCCAAATTTTTGGCTCAAAAACTGGCTGAGTTTTCAGCTAAACCAACAACACTAGTTGGAACGTGCCAAAAAGTCGATGCACGTGTAATCCCAAGCTACAAGAGGCCCAGAAGACCAAAGTATTAGGCTGATACCATCGGGTCTTCTATTGTTGCTTGGGAATAAGTGATTAGGCTCTAGGGTATTCGGGATGCTGGCCCTTTTAAGAGCTTTAGATATTAAATTATTAATATTTGTATGACGCAAGAGGTGGCCTTTAGAAAATCTAATTCAAAGGATGGTGTCTTTTGAAATCAGATGGTAAAAGAACAATTAATGCAGCCAAAGGAAAGAGAAATAGCTATAGAAAGTTGTTCATTGGTGAGAAGCCCAGGATTTTTTTTGGGATAGTTGACAGCCATTTGTAGCCATATGTATAATTCAAAATAGCTTGAATAGGACATTATTATAGGGTCATTCCATGTCAAATCAATCACTTTTCGGCCGACCCCTTTCGATTTTGATGAAAAATCGTAGGCTGATTATATATGTTCCCATTAGATTAGAAACAAAATTTTAGCGGATTAGCAACTATATTAGCGGAGATATTCGGGGTTAAAGGTCTAAAAAACGTCTTTTTTTGCTTTTTACTGATGTTAAATAACTAGTTTTTAATTTTAAACTAAATATGATCAAATATTGAATATAATATCAATAGCTAAGTTAATAATTTATGATTATGGCGAAAACATCAAAATTAATTTTTGATAAAATATGGGTCATCTTATGGTCAGTTGAAAACTTGAAATTAATATTTCGAAATGTATATGATCTCCGATTTTTAATTTTTTTAAAAAATATTATCCGTTTACTATTTTTTTAATAATTTCTTCAACAATTAGCATGGCTGGATATTTATTTTAAAAAATATTGCGATTTTTATACTTTAAAAAAAATAGATGGCGCTATATATAATAGTTTTAATATGTTAAAATTCATTTTTTATTGATTAAAAATATTTTAATGTATATATCATACTAAATCGATTACAATGTCCATTATATATATTTATTTGTAATTCAGATCATAAATTTTTAAAATCTTCACAAATTTAGCCTAATTAAGATAGTTTATAAATTAATTAAATCTTACTTCATCTAAAGGAACACAAAGCCTGGCTAGCTTGTGAGATTTCTTCAGGAGATAATATATATGTTCGACCGGTGGGAGTAGAAGGATTGACCAGCGAAAGAATATGAGATTTAGGTAACACTAAAATATCATCTTTCAGGGGAAATTTAAATGAGGCTGAAGGTCCACAAGGGTGTAAAAATCGGATTTTTACTTCTTCATTTGTAACATATTTATCGATTATATATCCTAACCACCATTTATCATCATATACACATGTTACATATCCATAAATATTTTTAAATATAATTTTTTCATTTAAAAACGAAACTTGTTTTATATTATATTTTTTAGAATTTGAATATATTTTGGTTTTTAGTCTATTTTGATCAATGGGAATAACCCCGTGAATTTTTAAGGTCCCATGTATGGGCAGCACAGAATTAAATCTTTTGCGAAGGGCTAATTCCCCTTCGATATATTCTTGATTGGATATATATTCAAATTGAATTCCATTAATATTTTCTTTAGCATAATTATATAATTCTAATGGGGTTAGGATTTGATTTTTATTAGGCCTTTGAAGACTAGCTCTGGCAACTAATCTTTTGACAGTTCCTCCGATACCGTCACATGCATTTTTGCCGTGAGCAGTGGCAAAGAAATGCCATTCGGCAGGAATATTAAAATCGTATTTATGAAGGCATATGTTCAAAAAATTTTTGCGATTCTTGTATTGAGACGCGGCTCCATCTGAAAAATATATTATTTTTTCTGGTTTAGAATTAAATTTGGCTGTTAAGAAATTAATAAATTTTTTTTGGTAAAGGTGGACTGCACTAATATTATGGTTTAATGATTCGAATATAATAACAAAATTTATATTTTTTAAATCTTCTCCAGATTTATAATATGCTACAAATGGATGTATAGTGGCCTGCACGTTGTTCCAATGAAATCCCTGAACTTCATCTTGTAAAATGAAGGAATAATTTTCAGAATAATCTAGAATTGTTAAAAATTCCCCATCTTTTAAATTTTCTTTGGAATTCTTCAAAAATAAACTTTGTTGTTTAGCTATAAACGAGTGACGCAGTAAAATTTGAACTTTTTCTAATAAATAATCGATGAAATCATCAACGGACTTTATAATAGTTTCAAGATTTGTTCTATCCACCGTGATCCATTGTTTAAACGTGACATATTCTATACGATTTCTCTGAAACAATTGGTATAATTGTCCCTTAAGAGATTCTATACCAGGGCATTGATCACAATTTGTTAAATAACATTTTGGCTGAGATGGATTACAAATAATTTGCGCCAATAGATAGTTGTAAGAATTTATACAGTAATCTTCTCCTGCTGTAATTTCAGCTATTACATTTGTCATTAATTTCACATTCTGATGAATAGCGCAGACACAAACAGTGTAAAATACAGTTTTTTGGTCTAAGTTCGGCAAATTTAGAGAATCCAATTGATATATTTGGGTATTCTTCCTTAAACATCTTGAATATTTCTTTAAGATTATTTAATATAAGTCTTTTTTGAACTGGTTCTTTCTCGCCTTTAACAGATACACAATCTTTTATTCCTGGCATGAGTCGGCTTATTTCATCAGAACTATAAAAATCCTTGACGAGTTTAAATGTTTTTTCGTTTAGTGTCTTTCCTGCCTTATGTTTTGGAAATGAAAGAATTCCACTTTCTTTTACCATCATTTTAGATTTTCTTGCCATGTATGATGTTACGTTGAATTCCTTTTGAATTTTATTTACACTCCATCTTTGAGGCAAAATTGTAAGAATTTGATATTGTTGATTTTTTGATAATTTATCAAAGTTATCCTTTAATATAATAAGAATTTCCTCTTTCATTGGACAATGCTCAAAATAACTAGTTAATTTTTTGTTAATTATATCGCTTAAAATTTTTTAAAAAATCTTTGAAATTTTCTGGTTAATGACAATTTTATAACATTCTTGGTCTTGATGGGTATGACTTAGTCTGGAGGGGGGATGGAGGGTAGGCCGGGTAATTATATGATTTTCGATTTTTCCCTTAATAATTTTCCTGCACTCCTTTAATCCTGCTTTTTTGTTCGCATGTTAGTCGGATTTTTTAATTATTTTTAATTTACATTGAAATATTAAAAAAATTATTTTTTATCCTGCGAATATCTCAGGGGAATAAGGTTTACAAAGTTATATAATCGAATTTTATGATATATTATACATTAAAATATTTTTAATCAATAAAAAAATAAATTTTAACATATTAAAACTATTATATATAGCGCCATCTATTTTTTTAAAGTATAAAAATCGCAATATTTTTTAAAATAAATATCCAGCCATGCTAATTGTTGAAGAAATTATTAAAAAAATAGTAAACGGATAATATTTCTTAAAAAAAATTAAAAATCGGAGATCATATACATTTCGAAATATTAATTTCAAGTTTTCAACTGACCATAAGATGACCCATATTTTATAAAAAATTAATTTTGATGTTTTCGCCATAATCATAAATTATTAACTTAGCTATTGATATTAGATTCAATATTTGATCATATTTAGTTTTAAATTAAAAACTAATTATTTGACATCAGTAAAAAGCAAAAAAAGACATTTTTTGGACCTTTAACCCCGATTATCTCGGCTAATATAGTTGCTAATGCGCTAAAATTTTGTTTATAATCTAATGGGAACATATATAACCAGTCTACAACTTTTTATCGAAATTGAAAGGGGTCGGCCGAAAATCTTGATTTTTTTGCTCATTTGACATGGAATAACCCTATAAAGAATAACTTGATAAAAGATAATCAACAGAGTGAGAAAGGGGAATATCCTATGCTTTCTGAAGGTAGGTCAGCCAACTCCAGATTGGCAATTGCTCACCCATGTGTGAATAGCGCTTTCTAGGTCAAAACCATGATCAGTAGATTAACCATCGTTATTTGTGTTTTTTTCAGTATAAATAATTTTCATAAAAATTGGCTCAGCCCCTGTCTAAGACTGAAGGATATGACTTTTGACCTTCACTATTTGTAACCCATCCACCTGCCGAATGTTTAAAATTTTTAACAAAACCCAAACAATCAAATCCAAAAAATAATAAGGACAAAGGTGTATTTTAAAAAAAAACGGTTAAAAAAAAGTACATTTCTTTTTTAACTTTAATTTTGATTTACAGTTTCATGGTTATATAACATATTTAATCACATTTATAAATAAAAAATGTTTCTGAGAGAGGGGAGTCAAATGTCCAATTAGAAAATGGGTAAAAAGTTAGCAAATAAATTTTTATAAAGGATCCAAGTACCAAGCATAGATAATTACTGCTGGTAAAAAAATGGGGTCAACTAGTATCAATAAGATCTAGACCAAGTAAACATCAATTAATTATCAATTTCAAGTGGTATAATAACCAAAGTGATAAATTAAAAATATTTAATATCAAAATAATATTTATCTAATATACATTCATATCCATGTTAAATGCTATGGTATCCTGTGCCTGTAGATTCAAATAACATTTTGATGCTGATTTTTTGTCATCAAACAAAACATACCAACATGTTTCCCCAGCTGATTCAATATAAAGTGGTTTGGGATTTATATTTTCGAAAATTGTAATCATATCCTTTTATAATGTATTAATAATTAGGATATAAAGAAAAATTTTTGACATCCTTTATACTTTTAAAAACTAAAAAAAAATCTAAATAGTTTATTAAAAATGGAGAAATATAATTAATATAAGTTTGAAAAATAAATATGAAAAAAAGTAAAGTGATTTAAACATTATTTACTTCTAGTGTTATTTTTTTAGGCATATCTCTAATTATTAGACAGGATCTACTCAAATGTTTTGGGAATATTTTTTTATTTACTTCATCAAAAATAATGCTTAGATTTTCTATAAATCACTATTAAAATACATATATCAAATCTAAAAAACCTTTTAGAGTTTCAATTATAAGATTATAATCAGTTGTTATTTTATAAATTTGAGGTAAATTAGTAAATGCTTCAAATGCAATGCTACAATCATTTTGATCCATTAAACGTTTAATTACAGGATGAAAGCTTAATATTCTCCTAAATTAAAATTTTATTGTTGAAAGATATAGAATTTTTTACCCATTATATAATTCTTCTATTATTAAATGTAGGGTGCTTTTGGTATCTTCTACGCCTTTATTGCAATGTAGAATTAATTTTAAATAAATTTAAATAACCTATATTTGGTGCATAATTTGATGGAATAAAATTAAGTTGATAAGCATTAGGATAATTTACTAGAGGAGCTGCTAAGTGCATCTTATAAATATATATAATATATATGATTAAATTTATATATTTATTATTACCATATGATGAGATGTCTTGAAAGGAAATTGTAAAATATTATTCGAACATTAATTTAAATCTTAAAAATATTATAAAAATTATTAAATTTAGATTTATATTTATAACTATGGTATTAGACAATATGCATAAAATATTAATTTTATATTTGATATTTTCAAAAGAATATATTTTTTAAAGAATATTGTTAAATGTGTGATAAATAACAAAATTGGTTATTACTTGAGAATACTTGTATCTAAGATACATGGTCTATTGCATCAATATCTTTTTTACATTTTTAATAAGAAACTAGTATCTGTATTTAAGATCATTTATTTTGTAAAGTATCATATATTTTTTAATTCTTATTATAATATTTATTTTTAAACAATTGACATACAGATATAACTAATTTTTTTTTCGTTTTGTATTAATTTCCTTTTTTCATGTTGATTTAATTTCCTTATTTTTTTCGGCTATATTAAATATATTTGACAACTAAAATTAGCTGAAAAATTTACAACTCACATTAAGATACATAGATAAACTATAAATAAATAAAAACGAAAGTAAAGAATATCGTTTATATATAAATGTAACTCGATAGAATATCATTATCAATGATACCTTTTTAATTTTAGGATGATTAATACTCATGGTAGTGAAGAAGAAGAGAATGAAGTGAAATTCAGGGTTCTATAATCTTTACATTAATATGGTGCTAAAAAAAATTTTTTAATTATTTTCAAAAATATTTACTATTTTTTAGTTAAAATTGTCTACTTTTTATTAGCTAACATTATTACTATTTCAAGCTAAAATTATCCAAAATTAGCTCTTTTTTTAATTAACATTATCAAAATTACATTTGGTATAAAAGAAAATTCAAGATTTAGAGGGTATTCGTTAATTTTTTTAGGGGCCTTTAGCCCCTGTGCATCCTACTCTAGTGACTCTAAATGTGGAATTATATTAATAAGTTCCTATGAATTAAATACAAATCTTAAAATTATGGATGAAAATTTTTTTTTAAATAATTCAAGTCAAGAAAGAACATGTATAGGCTAAATGTCAATGCGCAAATAAAAAAATTATTATTAAGGTATACATTTTATTATTAGGATAATTTTTTATTATAATATAATTATATATTATTATTTTTTTAAATAGAGATGTCATTTAGAAATTTTTAATCAATATTATCTAAAAAAATAAAAAAGATTATTAGTAAACTTCACGATTATTTAAAAAAATGATATATATCTTCATTTCAAGCAATAAATAAATAACAATAATTTCACAAAATACAATTGTTAAGTCGATATGTGCATTAATTGTCCAGGGTTTTCACCATTTAGGACTAGTTGAACAGCCTGAATTTATTATAAAAATAGAAATTTATATAATTTATATAAAGATAAATGTTGAAATAATATTATTTAAAAATTTTATAGATGTCCTTTACTAAGAAGAATCATGAAATTTTTGAAATTCAAGCAGATACTCAATGACGATTTTAAGAGAAGATAATTTTTTGGAAATTTATTATTTCACAATAATTTTCTCGGTTACTTATCTAGCTTCCATCATATCATCTAAGGAAGCTCTAACCACCATATAATTTTATGATTTGGATTGGTGATTTATATTCTCTATTTAAAAGATGTATTGATTTGGTTAGGCGTATAAATTTTCCTTATTAGTCCATTCTATAAAACATTGTCTAAAATGGTAGCAAATAGTTATATAAGTTTCATTACATTTTGTCAATGTAAGTTGCTAATAATTATATTATATTATATGGTTTTTAAAAACCATTATCAATTGAGGTATATGTATAAATTAAATAACCTTTTTATCTCTTGTAATTCTTTAGATGCAGTTTATTTTGTTAATATGATAAAAAATATGAAATTCAGAATAGTTGTTTTGAGCCTAAGTCATATCTTTTTCATTGGTTTGTTAGAATCACTAGCTTGTTATCCTGATCGTCTAATCATTCGCTTGATCTGTTCCGTTTTAACCCAAACGCTCTAATTACTGTGATGTCTGTAATTGTAACACTTGTAAATCCCAATTTTATTGAATATGTATGAGTATTGAATATTAATAAGTTGATCGAATATATAAAATACAGATTCTATCTCATAATATATATTATATCATGATTGACAGTTTAGAATATTAATATATAAAAATACAATGATTGACAGACAGTTTTATAATATAAATATTACAACACCTCCCCCCTTTTGCAATCATCTTTCTATCTCACACCCAATACATCCATCATCCCCATTATAACCATTCACACCCCATACATCTAAACATTCCCCAATACATCCCATAATCATTTGCACATCTTCCCAAACCATCAGTTAAACATCCACCCATAATCGATCACATCATCTCTTGAACCTTACAAATCCCATCTGTTATATTATCATTCCTTAATCTTTATCAGCTTCCCATTTGACCATTCCAATATCATACGTCATCATACCATTACTATTCACCCCTCCAATTCCATCTTGCATCCCTTCTTGCTTCTCAGTAATCTTCATATTGTACTACCATTCAAACTTCAACATACCTCCATAACCATCTGAATATGACTAATCTCCATCCTAAATTCCATAACCATCTGATACCATAATCTTCCATAACCATCTGATACCATAATCTTCCATAACCATCTGATACCATAATCATTTGACCAATTCCCAAAACAAATACCTCCATAACCATCTGAATATGACCAATCTCCATCCTAAATTCCATAACCATCTGATACCATAATCTTCCATAACCATCTGAATAGATAATCCCTAAAGTATCTTTCTTTTCCTCTTTTTTTTATTTTTTTTATTATATTCTTTTCTTCTCTTTTTTTTAATAATTTTTTTCTATTTTTTTTTTTAATATCTTTCATTTTCTTTTATTCTATTCTTTTCTTTCATTTTTTTTATATTCTTTTCTTCTTTCTCTTTATTAATTTTTCTCTTCTTTTTCTTTCTTTTTTTAAAAAAAATACTTTTTCTATTTTTTTTTTCTATTAATTTATCTTCTAATATTTTTCTTTTTTTTTAAATATTTTTTTAATATCTTTCATTTTCTTTTATTCTATTCTTTTTTTTTTAATTTCTTTTTTTCCACTAACAATTACATTTTATTAACAGAGCGAATATTTAATATACATAATATAATCGCCAAAACTAAACTAAATATATATCTATTTATATCTAATGCTACATTCATCCCAAACATATTTAAAAACCACTCCCTAATTGGATACCACCATCTAAGTTGTATATAATGACATACATATTTACAATCTCACATTAAATATTAATTTAAATTACATCTAAAATTATACAAATACAAATTATATATTAAAACATACATTCACTTCCAATATTCTTCATCACCATAAATAATTACAACAACCAATTAAATTTCAAAATCTTTTCCAAATTTTCCAATCCCACATAAATAAACCACAAAATACCTTTAAAATATAAACATTCGACCAATTATTATTACAATTAAATTTTTAAATTACAATCACCAATAAATAACCACAAAAATAATATATTAACAATAAAAACAATCTAAAAATTATTCATACCATTTAAACATTTCCCAAAATTTCCCATGAACTCTAATCATTAATTACAAAAAAAAACAAATAAATCCGCACTATTTACAAATAAATTCCTTCCTAATATTCGTATATATTTTAAACTTATTCACAAATAATTACCACTTACAAATAGCATGTAACATATTTTATTTTCCATTTCGTTAAACATAAAATAATCCTACTCAAAATTATCAAAAAAAAACAACTTATTAAGAATAATTAATTTTCTATTCCCCCACATTCTCCTTTTAAAATAATACTATTCCCCCACATTTTCCTTTTAAAATACTACACCACCTATAATATTAATTTCCTTTAAAAATTTATTTCGAAATTTAGGTTATACCAATGACAGTCATTGGGTTATACACAACAATAAAAACAAAATACAAACAGCTGCCTTTCACCTTACTATTCCTTAACTTTTTATAACAAGAAAAACTATTAACTATAATCTTTAAACCACTAATTATCAATAAGAATTAAAATAACATAAAAATGTCTTCAATCTATCTAATGATAATTACAATTATCAATAAGAATTAAAATAACATAAAAATGTCTTCAATATATCTAATGATAATTATAAGCTTCCCTTATGAGAGATTACAATAATTTTCCTATCTTCTCTTCTTATACGATTACTAATAATCTTTTAATTCTCTTTTCGATTAAAACCTTAAAAATTGATTTTTATTATCCTTAATCAGAAATCTAATAAAATCAGTATTACTTACCCTACATCATCAACCTAATTTCCTTTAATTAACTGTTTATACCCCTCCCCCAAGTTTTCCTTTTAAAATACTACACCACCTATAATATTAATTTACTTCAAATTAAGACTTCAAAATATATATTACCATACCCTTATATCAAAATAAAATCATCTCAATTTCAATCAACTCAATTTTACCACCTTCCTCACAATCCCCTTTGTTCCCATATCCCTTCTATATTATTTCCCTTTTTTATACCCGCATTCTTAATTGTTTAATATGACGCATCACTTTATCTCCCCTTTCCTTTAACCTTACCTCCACTTTTTTACATCCAATATTTTTTATAATTACCTCTTTCACCCACTTGTGAGGACCTTCCATACCAATACGCATACGTTCATTCCCAACTTAAATATCAACTCCTTCCGGACTTCTGCTCTCCCCTTTCCTTTCTCTCTTAATATATCCAACGGTCTTCTTGTCACCCTTCCTAAAAATAATTCGGCCGGCGACCCATTTATACCTACTGAATTATTATAAAATAATTGCGATAACCACACCTTTCCCTCCCCATATTTTTCTTTTCTCAACCATCCCTTTACTATTCCCACCATTCGTTCCGCCTGTCCATTTGACCGTGGATAATTCAGCAAGACATAATATGTATTATCCGTACTTTGGCACAAAATTCTTTGA